AGGGGGTTATGTAGGGATCATAGCTGGTTCTATAGGCAAAAGAAGAAATGCAAATCCTAGCTGTTTGCCTGAGGTAATTTTGTCAGCCTTTTGTTTGTCGCTTTTCTGAGTTTTTGTCTTGACCCAGTCTTTCTGAATGGATTACCAAATCTGCATTTCTAAAAGCTGGCCGCCTCAGGTTCTGCTTTGAGGCAAGGAAACTGGGTCTACTTTCTACCTCCCTTAAGATTTTTTTTAATTTCTCCTTTAGGGGAAATATTTTATCTTGACTTTTTAATATTTCCCAAAATATTTCATTCTTCTGTGGTGGCGGGAGGCTTCCCAAAATCCCCCCTTTTTGCCATAATAAATGTGGGTGACACACATACAGTTTTACTGGCAAAAGATTAAGAATTGATCAAACTGTTACTAGAAATTGATTGAGGCAGCAGAAAAGTATCCTTTCAGTGGCTCCCAAGAGCTTTTATCCCATGAAGGTCTAGCACCCAGGGGAAAAGTTCTGGAAATAAATTTACAATATCCAATTTTTTATGCCAATTATTTTCAGGTGTTTAATGTCACTTTCTGTGAGTTTCCAGTCAGGTTTGAGGAAAGCACATTCCCCAGAATTCTTTACAGCATAGTTTTGCTTTAGTAAATAACTACTGGCTGCCCATTTCCAAGGGTTGCTTCCTGAATCTGCCTTAGCTCTTAGTTTAGTGCATCATGAAGCCAAATTGAGGTTAGCCGTTGTGTAATCCAGGCTATTAACATTTTTTAAATTGTACACAATGAGCCCCGAGACCCCTACTAATGAGACCACCAGTGCAAAATATTCTGCCTTACTGGGCAACTGGGCAGCATCATTTGTGAGTCACAATCAGGGCTGGGGTTTGGAGATCTCTTTTCTACTACCTTTTCAGTGAGGACATGTTAATTGCCTGAGGGGCATGCTTCCTCCCCCATGGAATTGGCAGAGCTAGGACTGCTTGGGCCTTAGTGCCACAGAGAAAGAACCAGCCTGGGAGAAGCTTTATGTGGAGGTAGGTGAAGGGGATAGCCTCAGTCTGATTCTGAATGGTGTGTTTGTGTGTGTGTTTGTAGTGACTTCTATAAAACAGGCAAAACAAACATTGCAGACAAATTTCCCTCCCACCAGACAGAAGCCCAGGGTGTTCAAGACTTACTGTGCCAACCACTCCAAATGCCTTCCCTCCAAGAATCCACTTAACTGATGGTGACATAAATGAGGCAAGAAAGAAAACCTTACAATGAATTTCCACCCTCCCCCCTGTAGTCTTTCCATCTGTTTTCTGTGGATTGAAAAGAGTCTTTAGTCTTCACTGGTCCATCTCAGGGTCATCTCTTTCAAGTCTGCTGAGTGAGTTGGCTTGGTGGTAAGGCTGGTTACTCAGGCTAGGGAAAGTCTGCTCTATTCTGGTTGCTGTGATGAACTTTTTGGTAGATGACTGGATCCAAACCCAATTCCCTGGTTCAATTGAATGGAAGATCTCCTCTGGGGGTAGCATCTGGATCAGTGTGCTCTGTTTCCAAAGGTTGCAAAGTTGTCTGTGTAGGTCTGAAAGATACGAGCACAGGGTCTCCTTCCCTCCTTTGTGGGTGACACTCCCAGGAAAGGCATTGTTGGTGGATATGAGATGGAGAGATGATGGGTATATAGTTTGCAAGGTTTGAAAAGACATTAAGGTTAACATTTCAGAAGTTAAACAGACAGATAAAACCACTTAAACACATACAGCAAATGCAAGAATGAAACTTTTCCTATAAATGAACTTAAAACATTCCCTCGTAACCTTGGGCTGTTCTTCAAGGTACAGAGTGGAAGGGGGAAAATATGAACACAGTTCTCTTCACCCTGTTTCGCTGGCCAGGCAAACTAGAGTAGAGATATTTTCTTTTTCATTGCTTAAATGAATACTGTTTTTTTTAAAAAAAAAAAGTTGTTTTTTTTTAATTAGAGACATTTAAGAGGTACAATTAGCTAGACGACACACAAAGACTTTGACACATATACATACAAAGACAAGGGAAAGAGAAAAGAAGAGGACCCTGGTCATTTCCACCATAAATCTCAACTCAAAGTAAGGAAGGCACAAATCTTAAACATATTATATGGTTGCATAGAAGAGAGAAAGGAAGAAAAAAAATCAATGTTCTTATTTATATTTTCCCTCTCCCTTTTCTTAACCTTTATTTAGTTAAATTGGTTTTCAGCTTTGTCCCTGAGCAAAGCCCACTCTTTGTCCCACTTTTTACATAACTTCCTTGCTCACATCTTCTTACTAGCCAGGACAGGCAGTTGCCTCTTGCCCCACACCATGAGCAAATCTGTTAGGGTGGTTCCTGTCATGATCCTCGAGCTACATCTTCCCATGTTCCCCTTCCTATGTGGAGCTCAACTGGCTTAGTCTGGTCTCCGCTGTCAGTTTTCGGAGAAAAAAAAGTTCAGGAGCACTCTGGTTCTTTCGGGCACCTCTTTTCCAGCAGGACCTCTTTTCCAGCAGGACCTCTTTTCCAGCGAACACCGCTGTCGGTTTTTGGGCCAAAAAGGGGTCTGGGAGGACCTGCGGCCCCCTACGCACTCAAGTATAGGGACTTCCTAATACCACCATTAGTTTTCAGACCCTCCGGGATCTGGGAGGACCTGCTGCTTTTCCTTAGCAGTCAAGTATGGGCATCTCCTAACACAGGGCTTGTTCAGTGACTTCTCAGCTGGTTACCCAACTTTCTCATTCACTTTTCCATTCCATTTTCATACAGCCTCTCCCTTTTCCTAATAGAAGGTCCCACCTCTGACCAATCCCCCATATTTTCAGGCTCTGTTGGTAGAACAGATCTTTCTGTGGTTAGGAAAGCCACAGAGGGAGCAGGATCCAGCTGTGATTGGGAGAAGGGTCCTCTCACTCAAAACACAGGCATTCAAATATTTCTCTCACTTTTCTGGGCTTTAAAAGTTAAAATTTAGAGGTACTCACCTTTTTGTCAAGCAGCCTTTGAGCTCAAAACTCCCTTTACCATCCTTGCTCCAAATGGCCAAGGTCTAGGGAACCCACCCAGAGACACAATGGGTCTGCTTCCAGCAAGGTGGCTTACCTGGGCCAGGACCATTGATTGAGTTAGCTTGGAGTCCCACCTTGGGGTGCCAAATTGTGGAAAGAAAAAAATCCATCTGGTTCAGTTTCAAGCTGGGAGAAAGAAGCTGGAAACAATATGGAGGCTGATTGGAAAAAAAAGTTTCATGATGAAGCAGAACCACTAGGGTGTGGTTCTGGTGCAGCTGACAAAGAGGAGTTTAGAGTGGGTGGTTTTTATACCTTCTGGATTCCTTTGGCGGTCCTGTAGAGGTTATATAGGTTTCATAGCTGGCTCTATAGGCAAAAGAGGAAATGCAAATCCTAGGTTATTGTCTGAGCTAATTTTGTCAACCTTTTGTTCATTGCTTATCTGAGTTTCTGTCTTGACTCAGTCTTTGTGACGACTCAGAGTGTAACACAAACGTAACAAAATCCAAAACATAAATAAATGTCCTTTATTGCCTCCAACTTGGCCCTACTGTTCAATAATACTCAGTTGGAGATAAAATGTACTCAAAAATAGTCTTCAAAAGAAAGCAATACAGTCCTAATTTAATGAGCAGGTAGAGGTGAAAAAAAAAAAAACTATAATGACGAAATGTCCTCAATGGAACAGGAGAAGTATTTAACAAATTCAAGGAGATAACAAAGCAGTCTGTTGGAAGGACGCCAACCAAGATAACTTCAGACCAAAATAAAATACGCTTGCTTCTGGCAACCTGTGTTCTAACTGTCTCTCTTATATATTCATCTCCCTAGCTGTAACCAATGAGGATCATTGCTGCTTCCTCTCCCGCAAGCCTAGTTGTTGCCTTCTCCTTTCCTCCCTGCGTGTCCTAGGAGGCAGAGGGGATGGGCCTGGTTCTTCCTCTGACTGCCCAGCTGGCCTCAGCCCTTCTCCAGCCTTCTTCATAACCTCTGGAGCTACACCTCCACTCCCTGTTGGCTGTTCCTCCTCTCCCTCAGAGTCCGACTCTACCAAGGGCATGACAGTCTTTCTGAATGGATTACCAAATCTGCATTTCTAAAAGCTAGCCTCCTCAGGTTCTCTTTGGAACAGGGAAATTGGGTCTGGTTTCTGCCTCCCTTAAGATTTTTTATTTTATTTCTCCTTTAGAGGAAATATTTTATCTTGTCTTTTTAATATTTCCCAAAATATTTCATTTTTCTGAGGTGGCAGGAGGCTTCCTACAATATACTAAGCTTCATCTTTATGTATATCACTTTGTGGTCAGTCATATGCAAATATTTTGTTTTACTGGGATAATATAAAAACTATTGAAGAAGTTACAGGAACTGGGCATGGCTAGTCTAGTGAAGAGAAAGACTAGGGGAAACATGATAGCAGTGTTCCAATATTTGAGGGGCTGCCACAGAGAGGAAGAGGTCAAGCTATTTTCTAAAGCGCTTGTAGGCCAGACAAGGAATAATGGATGGAAACTGAAGAAGGAGAGATTTAACCTGGAAATAAGGAGAAACTTTCTGACAGTGAGAATAATCAACCAGTGGAGCAGCTTGCCTTTGGAAGTTATAGGAGTTTCATCACTTGAGAGTTTCAAGAAGAGGTTGGAGTGCCATTTGTCAGAAATGGTGTAGAGTCTCCTGCTTGGGTGGGGGGTTGGACTAGATGGTCTACAAGGTCCCTTCCAACTTTGTTAATCTGTCAAAGTGAAGTATTCAAAAATTTGTACTATTAAGTTAGAACTCTTGGAATTACTGGGAACATAAGGTAATGTTTAAAATGCCATATTGAATACAATATTGGGTTAAATGGAGTATACTCCATTGAATTTAACATGATTTATACCTGTATAGGAATAACTCATGCAAAATTGATTATTTGAAAAAAATAAAGTTGTCTTTTTGGTATATTAGATTTAAATTTCTTTTTGTATAGGAGATAAAATATTACCTGTTTTATTTCAGTTTTATGTGCTGAACGAGTGGGCCAGATGACTAAAACATACAATGACATTGATGCTGTTACACGTCTTCTTGAGGAAGTAAGTACCCCATGTTCATATGTATGATAACATGGTTGTAACACAGTAATCAATGTTGGAATCTTCTTCATGAGGTATGCAGGATATTGTAACTAGTCACCACATGTCTGAGGCCTCCTTAATTTAGCCCCTTACAGAGGGGTTACTGAAAACTGCCCAATTGCTCAATTCCCAGCTTGCTATTTCTTTTATTTATTCAATTCTATTTCAGTTCAATATAATTTGTTGCTCTGATGATGTTTATAAGGCTTAAAATTAATAGGACTCTCGATTACAGGATTTCCTTAAAACAGTCCTATAAATATTGCACAGCTATAAGGAACTATTGCTAGAATTCAGAAAGTTTAATTAGAAGATGCAAAGCCACTGTATCTGTACATGAATTTTATTCATAGCTGTTTCTTATTTTAAAAAAGCTGTCATAAGATTAAAAATACGTTTTGGTTTTTCTGAGCATTGTACTGATTTAGGCTTGGAGCCCTAAGATTTAATTGCTCCTTGATAGAGCTCAAAGTAGGAAACTATAAACCAATCTAAATCATAGTTATCAGGTTTCAAGTAGAATTTTTGCCAAGATGATCAGCTGCCCTTTTTCCCCACTATGTTAAAGGTCCAGCTGGTACCTTTTATTTCCACTGAGAAAATCAACATTATGTTTGTTACACTGAACCTAATACTTCGTTGTGCTCAAATGCATTATTGAAAGAATGTTGCCCTAACTCAATTAAGTATTAGTTGCTGGTTCCCAGGCCATCAATATCCCTTGAAAGTGAGAGGACCACATCTATGATTGCAACTTATAGATTATAAGAAAGCAAATTTTATTAAAGCAAGATAAAGTTTCTTTCAACTTACATAAAGCCTCTTTCAATTTACATAAAATTGCCTGCAATCATCTGCTGATGGATATATCCATCTATTTTTTTTCTATTTGAACTTTGCCAGCACCATCTTCTGAGATGTTTTTTTTTTCAATTCCTAGTTAGCCTACAGGTCCTAGTATTCCCTATAAATTTCCCACTAAGTATTGAAAAGGTAAAGGTTTATTCTATCCAGTCGTTTTTGACTCTGGGGTAGTGCTCATTTCCGTTTCTTAGCTGAGGGGCCCAATGTTGTCTAACGACATTTCTGTGGTCATGCGGCCAACATGACTATACACTGAAATGGATCGAACGCTGTTACCTTCCCACTGAAATGGTATCTATTTATCTACTTGGCATTTGCATGCTTTTGAACTGCTTAAGTGGGCAGAACTAGGGCAAGCCAGCTTCACTTTTAAGACCAATTCTGAGCAGTCAAATGCTATAGTAATTATATAAATTTACTTTAAATTAATTTTTATTATATGCAAATTAAATCACATTTAGTTCTGTCCCTGTTCATTTTTTTGCCCTAATCTTTTCTAGTTTTTGGAGTATAGATTCCAGCATACCATTCAAAGTCCAAGGGCATCACACTGATAAAATTATGTTGCCAGTGGTTTTCTGCTAAGTTTATTCAGAGACCCAAAATTTGGTGATTTCTTAACTTTTTAAAAAAATTCAAGCATGTTTGAATTATTGAGAATATCCCCTGAATGAAAAGAACAACTTCTCATGTTGCTATATCAGAAGCGTTAGTATATGTGTTTGCCTAACCATCTAGAAGTTCATTTATTAGAATTTTTTCCAGAAATATTTGGTTCCTATAGATATCATTAAAAATAACTGTCTTAAATATATTTATTTATTTGTATCATGCCTTTATTATTTTTAAATATAACTCAGGGTGGTGAACATATCCAACATACTTTCTTCCAAACAAAATCTGTTTTTGGCTGTGATGGCCTCTTGCAATCCTCTGCCAGCAAAAATGGAGCTCCAGAGCACGTCGCCCTCCCAAGCTCAGTTTTCACTGGCAGAGGCACTGTGGGCTGGTCCTTTGCTGTTTTCAGGGCAGCCCCACGGACCAGATTTAAGCACCCCTGCTCTAAAGTTACTGAAACATTTGATATTCTTCCACAGTTCTTCCAATTCACTAACTTTCCTTGTAACTCTTGATGTAAGACATATTGTGGCATATGGCTTTTGCTATTGCTTGAACATAGCCATTGCACCACCTGCACTACAAACAAAATGTCTTACAGGATTGTAAGAACTTAATTTCTGTTGTTCAACCTTAGTTCATTTTGAGATATTACTTTGCCTGTTGTCGTAGGTATTGAATACAAAGTGTAGGTTTTACACTTTGAACTACTAACTAAAACAATATTTAAAAGTTTTATTTTTTTGTAAGAGGCCATAAAATTATCAATTTTGTTAAACCCTCTATAAATACAGTGGTATTTAAGAATTTGTGAACCTGTTTATATTCTACATCCATTTGCCACTTAGAAATCTGGAGTTTGGGTCATTTTTCTCAATAAATAAATGAATGAATATAATATTTTTGAGCCATTTGTATAATTGGGTTCTCTTTATGTAATTTTGGAAGTGTATATAAAACATCATGGTTTAGAGCATATTTATTGAGAAATATTCAAAAGGATTCATAATCATAAGCACTTCTACACTTTACTAATTATAAATCAAATATAATTTTACAACTTCTGGCTTTAGAAATAAAAGCTCTTGAAAGGATTTTTATTCCTGGTCATGCATGAGCTTACAGCATTCAGTTACATTTATCGTGTAAATCAGTGGTCCCCAACCTTTTTTGTACCAGAGACCAGTTTCAAGCACAAACACTTTTTCAAGGACCGGGGCGGGGGAGGGGGAAGAATCCGAGTTTGGTGGTTTGCTTGCAGACGTTTCATTACCTGACTAGGTAACATCTGATGTTGTTACCTAGTCGGGTAATAAAACGTCTGCCAGCAAACCACCAAGTTCAGGGAGCGCCTTGGCCCTGCCTCCCTCAGCCCCATCCCTCAGGTGTCTCCCTCCCTCCCTCGGGTGTCTGCCTCATTCCTCTCTCAGTCGCTCTCTCGCTGCTCCACCAGCCCAGGAAAAAACTGCTTCAAAGAAGCCGGGGGGGGTGGCTTTTCCTGTCGCCGCAGCTCCTCCGAAGCGCCCGTTTACCCCCACCCCGCCCGCCCGCGCGCGCTTCAATCCACAGTGCTCCGTTCTGCCTTCCTGCCTGCCTTCTTCGTTTCGGAGCAGCTTCGGCTGATAAAAAGAGGCGAATAGTTATTATTCTCAGCCGAAGCCGCTCCCAAACAACCAGACAGCACTGAATTGAAGCGCGCGCGGGTGAGCGGGGTGGGGGTAAACGGGCGCTTCGGAGGAGCTGCGGCGACAGGAAAAGCCACACACACCCCCCCGGCTTCTTTGAAGCAGTTTCTTCCTGGGCTGGTGGAGCAGCGAGAGAGCGACTGAGAGAGGAACGAGGCAGGAAGAAACCGAAGCTGCTGAGCCAGAGAGCAGGACAGGCTTCGGTTGCTTCCTCCCTCCCCTTCTTTCATTTGTGTCCTTGATCCCCGATCCCAGCAGCATTCACCGAAGGCGAAGAAAGCCGCCATTTTTTTTATTTTTTTTTATTTGCGGCCCGGTACAGAGTGCTCCACGGACCGGTACCGGTCCGCGGCCCGGTGGTTGAGGACCCCTGGTGTAAATTATATTCCTCAAATTAAGTGGGTGTCTCCAGAAGAACACAAAATTAAAAAAAGAAATTACAGGCTTGTTTCAAAAATAGGCAAACAAAGCAGTTTTTCTAGTTTTTCTCTAGAACACAGATTCAACCTTCTTGTACTTTCCAATGATGGTCATTTCCTATGTGAGCCATAATTCAGCCTTCCTTCCTTCCTTCCTTCCTCAGAAAGAACGGGATTTAGAATTAGCTGCTCGAATTGGCCAGTCATTGCTGAAGAAGAATAAAATACTTACAGAGAGAAATGAACTTCTTGAAGAACAAGTAGAACATATCAGGGAAGAGGTAAGAATAGTCACGTATGCCTAACCTGTTTCTTACACAGAATATTTGCTCATTCCTGCTTCAAATGAAACCTGCTTGGCTTTATTTGCTGATATATATTTTCTTGTCTGTTTCATAATAGATTTAGAGGATTCAGATTTAAGCAGATAGTAACAATGGATGCATTACCTGTTTGACTTTCCAACTTTATTTATTTATTTCCCACTTTATTGTTTTTATAAATACTTCAAGACAACAAACATACCTAATACTCCTTCCTCTTATTTTACTCACAACAACAAATCTGTGAGGTGAGTGGCTGGCCCAAAGTTGCCCAAATGACTATCATGTTTAAGCAGGGACATAAATTGAAACATATATACTGTATATTCTAAGCTTTAAAAAAGAATGTATGTTCCAGAGTATATTTTAGTACCGTATACTCCATATATAATGTGTTTTGTGAATTAAAAATTGATTTTGATTGTAAATTGACTTTTTGTTTCTCATCTCATAAAGCACTATTGCTAATATGTAGTATATTCTTTCCTTGCACAAAGGACCTAATTCTCTCTCAATCAGCAGTATGGCATAACATTTTACATTTTTATTATTTTGATTTATTCTAGAAGTTTTATAAGAGTATTTTCTGGTTCTTTATGTGAAATTGCTATAAAGGGAGACCTTGACTTGCAACCTTAACTGAGCCTGGAATTATGGTTGTAAGTCATTTCAGTCAAAAGTTGAGGCATTACATAAATGGACCTAATTTTTCCAACATTTTTTGCAGCGGTTGCAAAGCAAAGGCCATGGTCATTAAGCAAGTGGTGCAGTCATTAACCAAATCCATTTTCCCCAATAGGTTTTTTTTTTTTTTTGCCAGAAACTGGAAGTAAATACTAGAAACTGGCAAAAAAAACCATTGCATATTACAATCATGTCACCGGGGAATACTGCAATGACCATAAAGATGAGCCAAGTACCCAAAATCTGATTGTGTGGCCACCTAACTTTGATAAAGGGTTTTAAGTAGCTTTGGAGATATCTATCATACTTTGACCAGTCATTATGTCATAAGTTGAAGACTACCTGTATACAAATACTTTAACTTTCATCATCTTGAAAGCTGCCCAAAGTTAATAAATGAATAAATTTCTCTAGCAACTCCTTGTGTACACTTAATGCTATAAAATAGATATTCCGTTAATATTTCAGTGATGTCAGTTCAAGTACTAGGGCTTTGTGAAATTCAGTTTCACAAATTTAAATTCAGTTCACAGACATTATATTTGTTCAAAATGGATTTGGTACTGGTTCTTGCTTCTCGTGATTAAAATGAAAAAAATATTTTTAAAAGTAGGGCATAACACAGTCTTTATAGCACTGCAGCTAGCTCTAGGCCTTCAGAAACTTATGGAGACAATATTAGGGAAGCAATGCAGTATTTTGTCCCTTATTTGTGAGGCAGCCTTATGGAAGTGGCTGGACTACCCACAAGTGGACTGCATTAAGGCTTTTAATGGAGTGGTTATTCCTTCAGCTGTATGGCCAATTATTCCTTCAGCTGTATGGCCAATTCCAGAATCGTGCCATGCTGCCAAGTGAGAAAGCAACCCATTCCCATGCTATGGAAGGCTTTGAAGCTCTTCAAAGATAAATGAGGAGGAGTTTGTGGCACCAGATGGAATGGGAATCAGGCATAAGGCCAGTGGGGAGCAGCTGGGTGATGGAAATGCTTGCAAGGACTTGGTGTGAGGGGGAAAGCCCAGCAGAGAGCTGTTGGGGAAGGAAAAGACCTCTAGGGACCCAATTTGTGAAAAGCAGGGGTGGGGGAGGCCCAGGTCAGATGGGTATGGCCAGCACTGGCCCTCCTCCGCTTCTGAAGCACCCTGTTCCCTTAATGATGTGTGTGTTCATTAATGGCTGCATCAGGGAGAGCAGTGGATGGGGTGATTAAGTGAGGCCATTTCATTTAACAGCGGTTGCAATGGGCAGGCTCCTCTCCTTTGCTAAAGCTAAGATGGTGGATAAGTGCCCCTCCAGATGTTACTATTAATAGTACAATGGTCTGTAATGAGAAATGCTATGACTTGAGGCATAGTAACAATAGAGTTACAAGTTTTCTGTCCCTGTGGTAAAGCAAACATTTGAAGAAACCTTTTTAAAGAGTTGAGATGATTTTGCATTTTGAACTCTATACAGAAATTTTTGAAGCCCATTTTATTAATGTTACTGGCCATGTATCATACTTCGTTAACTTAATATAGTTTGAGGAGAGGAATAGACTTGATGATTAGTTATTTTGAGGTAAGATGGGCAGCCAATAAAATGTTATCAATAAATAATTAATGTACATAGATATAGGTTACAACATTACACTAGCATTATGAAATCTTATATTGTGTTTGTCACCAAATTATGGAAAGTTTCCATTGGTGTATATAATCTAAATAGCTACAACTATACAGGTTAGTCCTTGACTTATAACTGATCATTGACAACTATTTGATGTTATAACCTACTTGAGAAAGGGGATTTATGGCTTGGATCCAAAGTTGCCCCTTGCAGTCACATGACAGCATTTCAGGTGCTTGGCAACATAGCTGCATTTGTGACCATTTGAATGTTCCACATTTTACAATGGTTGAAAACTGGAACTTTACAACACAGCAAAACCGCACACATAGCAAATGATAGGTTCACATTTACCACTGTTACATTTGCTGAATGACAACTACCAAAACTTGTAAAATTGGGCTAGTGAGGGGCAGGCTCCATTACAATTGCAACTTGAAGATTTCCTATAGATAAAACACAGTGATGAATTGACTGCTTTGAATGAAAAGCTGTGGTAGCACTCTAAATATAGTCGTGGAATTTGTGATCTAAAGTTTTCATAGTGTGGAACAGTTTTCTGTTGCTACTTAAAATGCAATCACTTATATGATAGCTGTTTTCCCCTTTAATTTGTTCAGGTTTCTCAACTGCGTCATGAGCTATCCATGAAAGATGAGCTTCTTCAGTTTTATACCAGCGCTGCTGAAGAGAGCGACCCAGATTCCATCTGTTCAACTCCGTAGGTCTAGAATAGAAAACAGAAATGTTACTTAGGCTATGTAAAACGGTTTCAAGTGTGAAATTTCATAGAAAGCTCAAAATACTTTAAAAATGTTTGAAACAACTATATTTAGTTTGGGATGTTTCAGAAGGTTCTTTGCCCAAAACAGTTTGAAATATTTGTTCTTATATATATATTTACTGCTCCTTAATTATTTATATATGCCTTATAATATGAAGATTAGTTTAAAAATATTTTGACAGTTTTTTTGTAATTTTATGTAGAAATTTATTTTTTTGTTATTTTATTACTTAAATTTTCACATTAAAAGTGTGTAGAAAAAAGGAAATCCTAAACTGAATTAATCTGCCAAAATTCTATGAAATTCTTGTATTTTAACCAGTATTATTGTTGAAAGGTTGTTGTACAACTCACTAGAGAGATTGTAAATAAAAGGGACTATCCATAAATGCTTTAAAATATATATTTTACTAGATTGAAGAGGAATGAATCATCTTCAACTGTCCAGAATTATTTTCATTTTGATTCTCTTCAAAAGAAGCTGAAAGATCTCGAAGAGGAGAATGTTGTCCTTAGATCAGAGGTAAACTTTATAGCTTTTTAGCAATCATAAATTTGTCTTCTGTTTTCTCTCTATATATTAGCAGCTTGACAAAAAGACATAAATCTCAACACCCTTATGTACACATTGATTTCTATTTCTAGGTGCAACAGTTAGAGTTGGGACAATCAAACTGTTGTTGAATAACAGACTACAGAATGATGTGTATTATTTATAGTAGAATGATGAGATTTTTTTTCCAGGTTTAAATGGGCCAAATATGTGCTGCATAACACAGTACATATACTCTGGAGGACAAAATACTGAAGAGAAAAAGATTTGGAAAGAGTAGAAGGATAAATCGGGGGGGGGGGGCTGTCTTCTAGATATTATCTAGAATTTAGATATTAAGAATAGATATTTATTTTCAGGGAAGATAAAGAATATACTTTGCCAAGAATCTTCTTATTGTAAGAGCTAGGATAATAGTCTTCACTTGCCTGGGCTGCACTGAGTGAAAAGGAATTGTCTCGAGCTACATATAAAATGCATAATATACACATAATGCTAACATTTTATGGTTTTGTGGGGCCGCATTACTAGCTGCCTATGGTCACATGCATCCAATAGGCCACAAATTAGTCACCCCTGCTCTAAAATATTTATCTAAGCTGTAATCTTAGGAAAACCTTTTAATAAAAATTAATTTGATTATTTGTTCAAATCTAAAAAAAATGTGTTATTCTATATTGTCTACATTCTACCAAATTACATTACTTGATATAAATATAAACATAAACATAGATACAGATACAAACATATCAATACAGATATGGGTGTAGATCAGTAAGAACCAATGATAGACAGACAGACAGACAGACAAATGTATATAAAGTGCTGAACTAAGAACAATGAAATCTGTGTCTCTAGTCTCCCCTTAGGCATAGAAGCTGGCTTGGAGACTTTGGACCAGTCACTCTTTCTGAACTGTAGACTGGGAAATTTTTAAAAAAATCAATCTATTAGCCTATACTGCATTGATGTGGTAGATTATAACTGATAACATTTATTGGAGAGGCTTTCATTCTTCAGTTATGAATAATAAATAGTAAAAAGATAGCTACAATATTTAGGATATACAGTAACAGTGCTTTGAGATTTACCTTTCTTCACAATGCACAGTTGACACAATTGGGACCAAAGTCTTGGTCATTGAGCAAAGCAATTGTTAAGTGAAATCTCACTGAGTGCTTTGCTCAATATCTACAATCTTGGCATTTCCGATTGTGATTGGACATAGTGCAATGTAACAAATTTGGGGTGCCTCAGGGAGGTTCTGGGAAACCCAGTGCAAGCTTAAGGGCCCACCAGTTCCCAGAAACCTACCATGGCCTAGGAGGTCTAGCTCACTATCAACACCACCATAACCGGGAGGCCTTGCCCAGATACAGATGTTTTGCATCTTTACGCAAATTATCCCACTTTATGCTTTTTTCTGCAGCTGCTGACAAGCACACCCCACATATTGTGAGGCATGATTTTCTGACTTACGTTTCCCTATACCAGTAAACACTATTCTCATGATTATTTGGAAGGCTCATCCTCCAAGTTGTGTGAATTGGAGAAGTAGCCTTCTGAATAACTGTGAGAATGATGCCTGCTCTCATGGTGCTTTGGAAGCCTTCTTCTGAAAAGTGTATGCTATTGTGATCACTTGGAAGGCTAGAAAAAACATAGAAAGAACCTTCTTAATAATCACAAGAACGGTGCCTGCTTGCAGAATGGTTCAAGGCTATCTTAATAGGAAGCCCAGACCTTGTAATAGTCAGAAACCTTGCAAACGTAAGTAGGACAAATTGCGTCTGTAGGTGGCCCCTGTAACCCTGGGCATAATGGGATGAGAAGCAGGTTTGGGCCTCCTGGGCATGGTGGAATGGAGAACAGGCAGCGACCTCCAGGGCTCCTGCAGCTTTGGGCACACTGTTGGACTGGATGGGGGGTTGAGGCTGAAATGGTGGGAGGGATAGGTGGGTGGGGAATTGCTTCTGCAGTCTTGAGTGCAAGCAGACTTCCAAGCATCTGAATTTTCATCATGCCCTGCAATGGCTGTAACTTTGGGCACAAATTGTAAATCACTTTGTTCAGCATGTTAGTTATTTTAAACAGTCACTGAACAAATGATCATAAGTCAAGGACTAAGTGTATCCTTGCATTGACTGATATTGAGTAGCACATTTAATTATTACTATTGTATTGCTATATTGTTGGGAAGGTGTTTATGATAAGCTTTAAAATGGTTTTGTCATCATGAAGTCTAGAACGATCATGTCATGATCACTTTGCAAAATTATGTAATTCACTTTATAGAATTAAATCATCTTTTGAGGTTTATTATAATTTATATTCAGTATAATTAAAACATATCCATTTAAATGATTCTTGAACATGTTGGCATTTTTTTTCAGGTTTGTTAGTGAGTATATTTTTCCCTTTAAGTATCTGTGAAATAAATGTAATATCCATTGAAATTTCTTCATCAAATAGATTACAGTTCCCTGACTTACAACAGTTCATTTGGTGACTGTTCAAAGTTACAAAGGCAGTGAACAAAAGGACTTATGACCATTGTTCAGTTACAACCATTGCAGCAGCCCCACATTCATGTGATCAAAATTCGGATGCTTGGCAATTGATTCATTGTTATTGCGGTTGCAATGTCCCAGGGTCACTCAATCCCCTTTTGCAACCTTCTGACAAGGTCAAGGCAGAAGTCGGATTCATTTAACAACAGTATTACTAACTTAATAACTGACGTAATTTGCTTATCAACTGTGGTAAGAGAAATCATAAACTGGAGCAAAACTCACTTAACAAATGTTTCGCTTAACAGAAATGTTGGGTTCAATTGTGGTCATGAGTTGAGGACTATCTGTACATTTTTATATTTCAATTATCCCTGATGTCTTAAAATTATTTTTATATATTTCTCTCTTTTTCTCTTTTCAACATTAGCAGCAGTTTGTTATTCACTATAGTTGCAGAGGAAAAGGAAAGGATGAAAGTTTTGGCTGTCCTTGAATACTGTGTACTGTTATGAAAAACTTATTTTAAAAAAATCAAATAGCAGTCCTACAGTAGCGAGATGTTAATTCAGTTTTTCATTTCTTGATATTGTAAACAGGCCTGCCACCTGAAGACTGAAACCATTACTTATGAAGAGAAAGAACAGCAACTTGTAAATGATTGTGTAAAGGAGCTCAGTATGTTTTCTTTTTTGCTTTCTGGCAGAATGGATAGACTCTTCAGATAATGGGGTTTTGCTTGAGGAGGTGGATTTTGTGCCATTTAGTTATGTTTCTTTAAAAAGTGATATGATTAACCTAGTGTATATTGCCTGCAATTTATCTGGAGGGAGGGAGAGGGAAGGATGACATGGATGATAGGATAGGATAGGATAGGAGATAGATAGATAGATAGATAGATAGATAGATAGATAGATAGATAGATAGATAGATAGATAGATAGATAGATGTTTGATTATTTGTTCAGTCATTCCCAGATTGGTATTTTAAATATAATTCATACTTTTCTTACTTACCTTTTTAAGGTCCATAACCTTAAACCTCTTTGTTGAAGAGGAAATTTTTAACTGCATACTAATTTAAATACATTTAAAAATAGTTACTCCAATGGTCTCATGCAAGTTAAATGACAGTGGAGATTCCTGGAGTGTCTGGACTATGTTGTATGAATATAATTTGCAGTATCCATTTGAAGATGTATTTTGCTTATATATTTACCTCATTTTTTATTCATGCTCACAATTGTTTAAATGGCATAATTAAGTGAGTGCATTTGTGGATTTTATCTGGTATTTTTTATCAATACAAATTTAGTGCACATAATCAAAATATGTTCTTATGGTTTTCACATAGAAATTCTTGGAATCTAATGTTACTTTATTAAATGAAGCAAAAACTATTTCATAGTACTTAAAATCAAACTACCTTGATAGCACCATGTTTGCTTTAAATTTTAACATCTGTAGTAAAGTGATCAGAACTATGTGTGATTTGAAAAATCATTGCAGAGGTGGGCTGCTGTCGGTTTGCACGGGTTCTGGCAAATCGGTAGTTAACAGTAAGTGCAGTTCAGCGAACTGGCAAATCCCACCACTGGCTGGTTCCGCCCCCGCCTGTTTTGAGCCTGTTTTTGGGCTGTTTTCAGGGCTGTTTTTGGCCCGAAAAACAGCCTGAAAATGGCCCCCCAAATGGTTTGTTTTGGGGCTGTTTTCAGACCAGTTTTCAGGCTGTTTTGGAGCCATTTTCAGGCCAGTTTTCTGGGCCAAAAGCAGCCTGAAAACGGCCCCAAAACAGGCTGAAAATGGCTCAAAAACAGCCTGAAAATGGTCCCAAAATGGCCTGAAAGTGGCCTAAAAAAACGGCCCCAAAACAGGCGGGGGTGGGGCCAGAGCCAGCCAGTGGTGGAATTAGCCCCAACCGGCCAAATCCTAGCTCTTCCTTTGAGGCGAGTGGCCAGGAGGCAGGGCTGGGTATGATGAGTGACATTACCCATCCAGTCACATGACCAGCCATGCCTACCCACCCAGAGAACCGGTTGTTAAAAAATTTGCAGCCCACCACTGAATCATTGGTATACATTGTACTAGATGTATATTTTTTTTCTTCTTTTTTCAAATGATCCATCTTTCTCCCAATATAATTTAATCAAAATATCACTACAGTATAAAGTTATTTTTTAAAAGATCTGCAATCCATCTTTTTTATATGTTGAGGTTATTCAAAGACTAATTTATAATAGTATTGTAGTAGGAAAAAAATAGTTTGGTCCAGTGAATTCACTTCTAGTTTATTATTTGTTAAATAATGGACACTTTATTTGTTAATAAAGTGTCCCTGATTAAAATATTTAAAAATATAGTTTAAGTACACAGAATCTGCTTCTGATGAAATAGTTTTTCCAAACAAATTATTGCTGGATCCAGAGAAAGTTACACATTCATTCATTAGTTCAATTTATAAAATGTGTCTATTTTCTGCTGAATCCAGAATTGCATATTTTATTTTAGGTGTAACATTAGGGATTGTATAAAATATTTTCCAAATTGGTGTATCTTTGTTTCTTAACAGACCATAAATAACCAGGATTGAACTTTTTGGTATTATTTTTGTATCTTGAGTATATTTGATGTAGTCTGGGATTAGGATCCCTGTAAATTAATTCTTATTTTATTTTTTAAATCAGTGGAATTTTATTTAAAATATCATGAAAAGTAAAATTCTGCTAAATCTTTTATTTTACTGTCTTCATGAAAGAGTGACAGTATATTATCCCATTCAATTTTTTATTGTAGGAAAAGATCCTAATAAGTAGCAGCCTTGTGTTTAAACATAATTATTTTAGGAACTCAGAAAATACATTCAGCTGACGGCCCACAATCTTTTGAAGGGAAATGAACAGGCTGACTGAGAAACTAGGGCTAGAATTTAAGCAGACTGCACAAAGTTCCCATCACAAAAAAATGATTGGACTGTTTCAGGAAGGACAAAACTTTCTGATTCTTATTTCCCAACCTTTTGCTGGTTAGTAACTGTCTGTCATTTTGTTTGTACGGCTAAATTGCAGTAGTGTTTAGTATTTTATCAGTATTTTTACCCATGACCTGTTCCATGTAGTTAATAGTGATTTTGTTATTTCTTTAAGGAGATGCAAATCTTCAGATTGCCACTATTTCAGAAGAGTTAGCTAAGAAGACTGAAGATGCTGCCCGACAACAGGAAGAAATCACCCATCTTCTCTCTCAGATAGTGGATTTGCAGAAAAAGGCAAAAGCTGTAGGTTTATGATTTAGCCACAATATGATGCAATCTTTTTTATCCTTTACTTTAAATCTTGAAATAGAAATAAATAAACCTTTAAATCTTGAAATAGAGAAATCATGGAATATTGTAATGCTTTTGCTGTTGATCCTTTTCCAGTGTACAGTGGAAAATGAAGAACTTGTTCAACATTTGGGAGCAGCTAAAGATGCCCAAAGGCAACTCACAGCTGAAGTGAGTAGTAATCAGGATTTAAAAACAGGAAAATTGTTTTTGTCCAGTTACATTTTATTTTTATATCAGAAGAATGTTTTTATTAAAAATTAATATTTATATGTTTTTGCATTCAGATTTTCTTGATTCCACATAGGATTGAAAACCTTTACTATGAACATGCCATACTATATATTTTTTTACCCTTTTCCCTTTATTTATGTTTTTTTCTTTCTCTCCCTGACTTTTGAAATATGCAGAAAGGTAATTTTATTTGGCAGAAAAAGGCATAGCAATCCACATTCCTTCAGCATGTTAGAAATCCAAGAAGTACAGTGGACAGACTCTTTATAGCCTCCATCTGTACAACATTCTCCCAGGACTTTGGGGCTATTCTGAGATTTAAAACCTCTTTTGCCACTTTTGATATTTTTTTAGAAACAAGAATATAAGCAATACAACTGGACATCATAACAATGATGCAGCTTTAAAGCTCAGTATGGAGAAATATACAATTTGCCCCAGCTAGCTAAATAGCCATTCTGTGCTTTTGTATGTCTTGTATGTAAAAGGGGAAAAGAAGACCACACCACCAACTTCTTGCCAAATGTTCATTTTGCCAATACAATACAATACAATACAAACGTTCATTTTGCCAGTTGCTTTTTGAAATAAATAATAGTAATTGTCTTGGGAACCAACTACTTTATTTAATCTATTATACCAGTGGTGGTATTCAAATTTTTTTACTACCGGTTCTGTCGGTGTGGCTTGGTGGGTTTGGCATGGCTTGGTGGGCGTGGCTTGGTGGCTATGACAGGGGAAGGATACTGTAAATTTTCCATTCCCTCCCCAGCCCACTAACCAGCTTTCCGGTTCCGTTCTCCTGTGCGGGGCAACAAAAGAAGACCCTGCCGATCAGCTGGGACTCGAGAGGCAGAGAATAGATGGGGATGGGGGCAATCAGGTGGTATTTGCCGATTCTCTGAACTACAATTAAACTAAAATTTCCGCTACTGGTTCTCCAGAACCTGTCAAAACTGGCTGAATACCACCTCTGGTATATACTTCCTATCTACTTTTCTCTGATTGTTTAGCTAGTGCACTTATTAATGCAGCAGCATTAAGAATTTGCTTTCTGGACAAGTAGTAATTATGAAAAACATAATTATGTGTTTGGAGAAGATGGAGAGAATAAGGATCCTTTCATTTATTGTATTCTTCTAACAGTATATAGAAAATCTGTTGCAGTCTTTATGTAGAAAAAAGAATTTTCAAATGAAAACTACTAAAAAAACCCAAATTAAAACATATTTATTCTGTGGGGTTTTTAGAAAACCTAATATCCTTCTCTTCCAAATACAATTTTTTGTTACATTAAGTACTTCAGAAATTTTTGGGGAAAAAATGAAATTTAATCAGGATAAAGATTGGATTTTTCACGTGTATCTGTTTGTGTATATCATCTGAAAATTATTTTAGCTCAACTGAGGGCTGTTGTTTCTAAGATGAATGTATTCAAACATCAAATTATTAAACATAATTTTATATATTAATGTAAACATAAGCTATACTGAAGAAGAGTGAGATTTATTTAAAGTCAGCATGTCTAGGATTGTGTTACAATTAAAATAGGGAGGGCTCTTCGCCTGACATTAGGTATTTGGACTTCACTCTTCGACATTGCTTTTCTCTTCTCTGAACCATTTGTTGTATAAATTATTGATGTTTCTGAATACAGTATATAAGAATCAAATTGAAATCAATTGAAATTCAACTGTCATGGACAGGAAATCAGGAGTTCAGCCAGTTTGAATGCTAAAGCTCTCTACAAGAATCTGAACTACTAATAATCAAAGCAAATTAGCGGCAGATAAGAATCAACAGTATTCAACATGGGCTGGACTTAGAGCTCTTGTGGGCATGAGAGGACTTGAGACTGATGACATGTTTGACCCCTCCCTGGAGCTCTGCCTGATCATCTCCTACATCAACACGGAATACAGATTATTTATGGTGGTGACTAGTTAAGTAAATAATATGCATTGCTAGCTAAAAAAATTAAAAGATGGTTAGCAGCAAAGAGGTTTGTTTGATCAAGAATTAAGTGGGCAACCTGTGACAGTAACCAATGAGTTTCACATGGTGAAGTTTGTTGAACTGATTAAAGATAATCAGCAAAGCACTTAAAGGGAAATTATTGTCAAGCTTGGCATTTCACAAGAAAATTTGAATCATATTACTGATGTTCTTCAGTATCAGATGGTTTGTGCAACAAGAATTCCTTCCATGCTGACAGCAGAGATAAAAGAATCAGGAATTGAAATTTATCAGCAATTGTTATCATGCTTATAAGATGAAAGGTGAGAAATTTCTTCATGATGTTTTGACAGCCAGATATGAAGCATCAATCCATTGAATACAGGAAGCTTCACTACAAAATAAAAAATAAAGACAAAAATTTGGCAGGAAAACTTTTAATTACTATTTTTTGGAATGCAAACTGCATGAGTCACATGAATTTTCTTTAACCTGGCACTTCAACTCAGAGTACTACATCGCAGCACTCAAAACTTTGAAATAACAATTAAGCAGAACTTAGAAGCACATTTTTCCCTACAAAATGGTAGCATTAGGCTTCATTTCTCATGAATCATTCAAGAAGCAGTTGCAAAGTTGAATACTGTCATCTTACCTACACAACACAATGCAGACCTGGTGCCATGTGACTTCCACCTTTCTCCAAAATTGAATAAATACTTTTGTAGGCATCAATTTGATTGAAATGAGAAAGTGAAAAGGACTTTGAGGACTGGTTGAAAAAAGAAAGTGTGGAGTTCTTTCATGACAGGTTTAAGAGCTTCTCCCTTTTGTGCAGTAATGTGTATTGAACATGTGGAGACGTAAATACAAATAGAAACTATTGGTGACTGTGGATCATCTAAACAGCTGTTATCCAAACCTGCAAGTCACCATCACTTATGAAGTAGGCCAGTTACCTTTCCTGGATATATCGTGAGAAGATGGCTACCCGAAAATAAAGCTGGGACTAGGTCCCCTCTCCCGTTCTGACCCTGCGGGGAAAGGAATAGTCAGGCCGCTTGAAGGTGAAAAAGTAGCTGCTATCGCAGAGATGCAGCCAGGAAGCCTCCAGGTCCCCAGAGAATACCTTGACTTGGAGGAAGGGTTTAGTGAGGAGAAATGCAATGCCCTACTGCCTCATCATCCCACAGACTGTGCCATAGAGTTCCTGTCAGGGGCCAAACTGCCCCAGCCAAAGTTGTACTCCATGACCCCAAAGGAGATGACTGAATTAAGGGACTACATCGACACTAACTTGCCCGATGATTTATACAACCTGCTAAATCCAAGTAGTCGCCCCAGTGCTCTTCAAAGAGAAGATGGGTCAATGAGATTATGTACTGATTTTAGGAGTATTAATGCAGTGTGCATGGAAAACACCCACTGCCCTTCATGAAGGACATGCTAGCCCACCTAGCAAAAGGGAAGGTATTCACCAAACTAGACCTGCGGGAGGCTTCTTGTAGGGTGCAGATAAAGGAAGGCAATGAGTGGAAGACTGCCTTTAACAGGTAGCTTCTAATTCAAAGTGATGCCTTTTAGACTACAAGGAGCCCCCAGCAGTCTTCTCATTATGCGTGAGACTTTAGAACCGTGATGGCAAACCTATGGCACAAGTTAATTGGCCTGGAACAGAGCCACTGTGCATGCACGCGCGGTTCCTGACAGCCAGCTGATTGTCAGGTACCTGCCACGCATGTGCGGGGCGCACGCAGAAGACACACACATGCGCAGAGTATTGGGGGGGTCGCACATGCATGCGCAGGGGGCAGTGGGGTTGTGCTCCCATTGCATTATGGGAGCAGGCACATATGAGAGCGAGTGCACTTTCAGCATGCAGCGACGAAAAGGTCAGCCATCAGTGCTCTAGAAAAACACATTAAACTGGTGCACCAAGTCCTGAAAAATCTCATGTATCATTTCAGCAACAGTTTTAATACCCAATCATCCCAGATATATATTAAACAAAATATGTCTACAATAAGTTGCATAATTCAACTGTTTAGAATATATATCTTCTTTTTATAAAAAGTATTTTTGTTCATTTAAATAAAGGCTACAGTGAAAAAACATTTTTAGTTAACATTTTTATTTTTTCTTAATTGCAGTTACGAGAGCTGGAAGATAAATATGCAGAATGTATGGAAATGCTTCATGAGGCACAAGAAGAACTGAAGAATCTTAGGAATAAGACAATGCCAAATGCTATATCACGCCGTTACCATTCATTAGGCCTTTTTCCAATGGTGAGAAGTCTCATATGAAATAGTTCTCAAAAATTCACTTTGCGCCAATACTTAATGCAACTTCGATTAACTAAAGAAAATAGTTTTAGGGTTTATTTCAATATATATTCAAAGAAGCACCTGGTTTCTTGAGTTGAATCTTTTGTTAGGTAACAGATAGCATTTAAGTATGTTACCGAAGTTACATAGTTGCTGTACTTTCAGAATATATTATAATCAGCACTTCATGTTCAGTGTGTATTAGTAGCATAATATTTTTTGATTTATGTAGTTGCCTAAAAGAATTGGCACTGTGTCATTATCAGGCAATTTTTCTTTAAAATATTCTGATTCATTTCAATTGCATAATTTCCTAATTTCAAAATAAAATATTGCCAAAAATGAATTTGCACCTAAGGGGGGAATATGATTTACTATAAGTCTGCAGATACAAGAGATATTTGAGCTTGTAGTGTAAAAAAAATGAAAGTATAATTATTTTTTAAATCGGTTTGTTGAACTATGATTAACAATTATCAAATAACTGAATATCCAATGTCCAAGATAATACAGAAAAAAAATACAAACTAAAATTGGTTGTACGAGGTGCAATGACAATAAAGTAAACTAACTAACTGACTAACTAGACAGGCACTCTGTACATGCAAATTCTCCATATGCATGAAATACTATCATATTGTAGTTTATTGCTATTGATATAAACAATAAAATCCATTTATAACCATAAAATCTATCCAAATTTGATAGAATTTTTGTTCCTGCTTCATTATTTTAACTCTGACTTTTTTTCTAACGTAGCAATTGAAAAGGTTTTGTTATCCACTTTGTTACAATAGCTGGAGTTTTCTAATGTTCGGCAATTTATTTTAGCTATGTTTTAGTTAAAATTAAGTAGATAATTATTTTTAAATATCAGATTCAGTCCTGTATAATCAACTTATAACCATAATGGTTATCCATCCCTTGCTGTCCTGGTGTGTTAAGCTATTATCCTTGTCTCGTACCCTTTTGAATTTCATATGAGCTAGTTCAGTCACCAATAATGGCAATTTTTGCTTTCTGTGATATGTAAACAGCTTTGACTCCTTGGATAAGATTCTTTCCAAAGTCTATTTCTCCCAGCACTTTAAACATAAAAGCCCGATTTAAATTGCCAAAGGCCATCTCTGCACAAAGCTGCCTGTTTCTCATTATGATATTGTAAATATTCAATAATGTTCAAAACAGTCCTCATATTATCTCTTAGTTGTCTTTTTGGCATGAAGCCAGATTGGCCTTCATATATATACTTGTAAAATCTTCTTTAGTCTTTTTGCCAAAACTGCAGCAAAGAGTTTATACTCCTGGTTTAATAATGAAATTAATCTATAATTCTTTGTCTTTGTAACATCAATACAATATTAGCTTCCTTCCATGTTTGAATTATCTCTCCCCCCACCCCCAAAATATCATTCATTGTATCCTTTAGTGGCTGAAGAAATTCATCCTCAAAGCACTTATAGTATTGTCTTATGGGCCTGGAGCTTTACCTGATTTAATTTTTTTATGACTTCTGATATCTTGAAGGCAGTTATTAGGACATTTATAAGTTGTCTCTGTGATAATTTAGGCAGCTGTTGTCTTAAAAGATATTCATCTATTTTAGATATATCTAACTCCTGTCTTTTATATAAATTGGAATAGAAGCTATGAAAAGACTTTTTGATAAATTCATTATCTTTTATTTCTACCTTCATTGCTACCTTCACAGATCTTCTCAATCATTCTAACTCTTTCCTCTAAGTACCAAAAGCACTGGATTATGATCAGAAAAAGATTTAGGTAAAAGAGATAAACTTTTAAAATTTTATTTGCAAGATTTTTAGAAGTTCATAACATATCAATCCTTGAAAAGATGAATGTCTTTCTGAAAAAAAGGTATATTCTCTAGCAGAGCCATAGACAGCAGAGTGTCTATGAATCTGTTATGTAAATGTCTATCGCCTCAAAAAAAGTATTTGATAATTTACCCTGGAGAAGTTTAATCCCCTTGATGGATGTTATATCCAAAGCTGGTATAGTCACTCCATTCCAATCCCCCAACATAAGCCAGTTTTCATATAAAAAGTATAAGAATTGATCCATTAAATATTCAACAAATTTACTTTTATCATTATTTGCCAACTACTGTTGATTTTATTCCATTAAGTTCAATTTCCACTACTACAAATCTACCATATTTATCTGCTATAAATAGCTTTGGTTTGAGTTGAGGTTTTATATATAGGACAACTCAATTAATCTTTTTAAAACGAGCAGATATAAATTCCTCTCCTAATTATTCATTTCTTAATATGTGTTTCTTGAAGGCAGATTATGTCAACATTAAGTTTCCTCAGGTAATAAAATATTTTTTATGCTTAGATGGGGCATTTGCACCGTTAATATTCTATGTTACTACATGGTAGATTTGTAGTGGAAATTGTAGCGGTGGAAATTGAATTTAACAGATAATCAGAGTTGGAAGGGACCTTGTAGGTCATCTAGTCCAACCCCCCGCCCAAGCAGGAGACCCTACACCATTTCTGACAAATGGCAGTCCAAACTCTTCTTAAAAGTCTCAAGTGATGGCACTCCCACAACTTCCGAGGGCAACGTGTTCTTAATAGAATAAAATCAATAGTGGTTGGCGTGTGCAGGCCAAATGATGATAAAAGTAAATTTGTTGAACATCTATTGGATCACTCTTACACTTTTTGTACGAAAACTGGCTTATGTTGGGAGATTGGACTTAATCTCCATCTTTAGAGGTATAGGGTCCTGTACAAATATCTTAGCCATGCCTTCTTCTTCAATACCAATTTTTTGAGATTATTCCACCCTACCTTCTTTTCTATATCCATTTCTTCAGCTGGATTGAAATTAGTTTGTGTCTAATCAATAAATCTTTGGCTGTTTCTATAGACTGCAGTGTAAATCTTCAATCTTGATAAGTAAGTACTCTCTTTTCCCAAAAATAAGACCTATCCCAAAAATAAGTCCTGGCTTGATTTTTATGTGTGCACCTAATATAAATCCTATCCCAAAAATAAGCTCTAATTAAGACCCCTCCCACTCCATCCTACCCACTGGTTATATGAGGTGTGGTAAGGCACATGCGTAAAAATCAAGCTGGGATGAGAGGGTGGAGTTGCTCCACATACCCCGCACCTGCTTACCTTAGAACCACTGCAGCCAGGCCTCCCATGCCCGGCCCCTGTTGTGTCATTGCCTGACTTCTGTGGCCATTCGCGGCAGGAGGCTACATGGCATGACATGCCAGTGCCATCACTTGTGGCAGGACGTTATGTGCTGCGTCGTGCCAGTATCACAATGTGTGGCAGGATCCATGTATGTTGCACCAGTGCTGCCATTTGCAGCAGGATCATTTGATTTGACAATAAAATAACCATGATAATTTAACATCAATAAACTTCTTTATTGGGAAGTTCCCTTTGACAGCGTTCCAGCAAACCTCCATTCCAATCAGTAACTCCGAGACAAACATATCTCAAAAGTACCTTTATTAGAATAGCACCTGGCACATCTGTGGAATCCCGAATCTAAAAGTTTTTGGGCTTCCCACAATTTCCCAAACTATAAATCCATCCTCCCTTGGCCGTTATCACATCACATGGTCCAATCATGATCCATCCAAAAGTAAGATCCTTATTTCATCTTGCGCCATACTTAATGACCTTGAACTAACAAAATTATTTCGTCTACTTAGAGCTACTCAATTGAAATCACCCGCTCCCACTTTCTCAGGTTATGTGGCAGCATGGAATATGGCTTCCAAAGCTGACAAGTGTCCCCCCTTGAGAAATTCACCTCCTAAAAGAGATAATAAACAAAACACAACCAGGGGTTAATGTGATGCCCTTAACCCCCTCTCCCCCCTCCAAGGGGACCCTTCAGTTTGTCAGGGAATTCTTCATGGAATTGGTTAACCAATCTATCTGCATGTATACCCCAACTTTTTACCCAAGTAGCATCTGACAAAGGGTAACCTTTCCATAATACCAAATTTTGTAATCTCCCTTGGTGTAATCTAGAATCGAAGATTTTCTTTATTTCATATTGTGTCTCACCCTGTATGATTAAAGGTTTGGGGGGAGCTGCTGGTATCAGCCTTAGATTCGACCCTACAGCAGGTTTCAATAAACTACTATGGAACATTGGGTGTATTTTCCCCAATAGCCGAGGGAGACTAAATTGGACTGTCACTGGATTGATTATTTTTGATATAGGGAATGGCCTTAGAATTTAGGGCCCTCTTTTCTACTGGGAAGTTTCAACTTCAGATATTTAGTTGACCAAAACATTTGTCCCCTACTTTAAATGGTGGTTGGAGGGATCTATGTTTGTCTGCTTGTTTTTTATATTCCTCAGCAGCTTCAGTCAAAGCTTTTTTTGTATCCTCCCAACCTTTCTTTAATGAGTCCATCCACTCGGTTAAAGACATGGATGTTGGGGGTTTCCTAGGTAATTCCGGCATAGGGACAAATTCCATGCTGGTGTTGATTTAGAACAGAGTCAAGCCTGTACTGCTGTGTACTGCATTATTGTTAGCAACTTCTGCAAATGGCAACAGCTCCGCCCAGTTCTCCTGTTGATAATTTACATAGCATCTAATGTATTGTTCCACCATGGCGTTCGCTCTCTCCACTGCCCCGTTGCACGCAGGATGGAACGTTGCCAAAAGCCCTTGGGATACCCAGTGGACTTCAAAAACTCCCTCCAGAACTTAGCAGTAAACTGTACACCTCGGTCTGAGATTACTCTATGAGGTACGCCATGGAGCCTATAGATATGCTTCACGAACAGTTTCGCAAGTTTCTTAGCCGAAGGTTCCATTACTGGCTTGCTTCGAAAATAAGTCAACAGTCCCAATCACCATATTTCCTCCACTCTCAGGTAACTCTACGATAAAGTCCATCTTGATTTCTTCCCACGGCTTCATTGGTTCAGCTACTTGTTGA